GCCCTGCATGAAGCGGTTCTGAAGGGCCTCCTCGCCTTCCTCCACGCCAAATGCCCCATTCATCCTAGGCCCTGCTTAGCAATGTCCATGGCCCCAAGCGCGCGGCGCAGGGCGGGGTGCGTCTGGCGCCGGCTTCGTTGGAAATGTCGGGCAACTGGAGGGTCAGACCAATAGAACCCCAGCCAGCCCCTCATGCAGCACCAGCTCCCCCGCTCCTCTTGCCCACCACCTCTGTTTTCTCGTTTGGAAAGAAAAGCAGGTAAAATCCCGTTTTATGGGGGAACGTAATTGCGAGCGGGATGCGCTCTCTTTAGAAATACGTTCTCCCAAATGATCCCGCCGTCCCATTACCGGAATGGGGACCATTCTACTGCACATAGGACTTTCTCCCATTCTTTACTTTTTTATTAGCCAATCAAAGTGGCTTCCGAAAGCTATTTGTGATTTGTGAAAAATAGTATCTTTCAAAATGCTGAGTTGAAGCATCTCGCTCACTTCGCCTTGAATTTACTATTCCAATCTCAACGGTAGAGACAGGATAATGTAGCTATTAAGCTGGGGGGCAAATTCGTTTCTCTGGCTTTTAAAAAAGTTCTCCGCATTTTCTCTCCCTCTGCTCTCTTATTTCAGAGGCCAAGAAAGGTGCTGGTGTTGAAGAAATCTGGGGGGCCTGAGGGTGTAGTGAGCATTCTGAAGAGCTCCTTGGGGGAGCCCTTGAGTGGGAGGATGGGTTGGCCTCCCCAGTTGAGATGCCCCGTGACTTTCTGGACTTCCTGGTGTCTGGGAAAGCCACCCCCAGCCCCAAATAGAGAGAAGTCAGGACAGGTTGGGCCACAGACTAGAAGTAAAATTTCCGGTGCGCTGCCCGCAGGGCGGTCCCATTCTCCCCGCTGCCCATTGTGAAAAGCTGGGCCAGTGCTTTCTTGTCGTAATTTTTAACTACCTGTTATAAAATTTATGGGTGGGTTTGTAAAAGAAATGAGGTCTCTGCATCCGGCTAAGGCAACTGTTTTTGCTTACTGTGGAGGAAGTTTGGGGAGACGGTGAAGGATCCCCTGTTGGCTGGGGTGGGGGTACCCAGCATTGACTTTCGTGCCAGCTCTCAATGCCCGACCGAGGGGAGAGCTGCTGGGCTTCAAATCTCCAGCCAGTGGGGAGAGTGGCTGAGCTGTAAACCATCACCAAATAGTATTTATTCTGGACTTCCCATACTGGGCTCACTACAAAAATTAGGGGTCTGGAGAAGTAGAGAGGGGGTGGTTGGAATTTTTGCGCAGCAGATAGAATTCAGGGCGCTAAAGAGGTTCTTCTTTCAGGGCCTCAGAGATACATCCCAGAGGTCTAGACACCAAACTAGGAAATTTTTCTGAAAAAGGCAGGTGGGTGTGGGTTACCTGACAAGATCGGAAAGGCTTCAAACTGCCCTGCACCTCAAAGAAAAAGGAAATGGGGACCAAGAGAATGGGCTATAATTTTGGCTTTACGTCTAAAAAGATTGTAAGCTGCCATTAGAAACTAGGGGATGTAGAGTCTTTGCGCTAGGGATGGTCTTGGGCTGGGGGTAATGGCATTCTGTCTGAGGAAGGGACCTGCGGGTGGGAGTTACTTGGAGCGCCCCAGATTCTCAGCCCTTCTGCTGCCAGGACTGCCCAGGGCTGGTCTACCCCTTCATCTCTTTTCACCACGTCCTGGGTAGCGTTGGTGGAGAAGCTGCCAGCAGTCTGTCACTTCTGATCCAGGCTGGGGTGGGGTGAAGGTTTACAAGGGGCACTCCAGTGGGAAAATAGGAAGGCTATTGGTCTCTTTCTAGGGGAAAAATTAAAAAGGCAGGGCTAGTAAAGGTATCTCCTTTCTGTCCTTTAACTTCATCAGCCCTCATTGCCCCAAGTTACAAATCTTCTCAGGATTCCCTTAGATCCAACCTTATTACCTCCGTTTATGAAGGAAAATGTTTAAAATTCAGAACAGTAAAAGGAGGTAGCCTACCTCCAGCGCCAGAACCCCTTCTTCTCTCCTCCCTCCATCCCCTCTCTGCTGTCCGAGCTCGCCTGCGGCAGCCGGCCGTGGGGAGTGGGCAGTGGGTGGGGGCGGGATGGGGTGGGGGGATGCTCCCTTTCGGAGAGAATTGGGTAAACATGGCGACCGCGGCGCCCATTTGCACACGCTACACAAATGCATCGCATTCCCGGTTGTTTGCAGAAAATTTACAGCTGAGTAATAAAAGTTTACGATCGACTCACAAGTTGGATTGGCCACAAGAAGTCATGTGGATTCCATCCATGAACGTGAACTTTTTATTGTGGTTTGTCCGTTCGGAGCGCTCCGCAGAACAGTCCTCCCTGTAAGAGCCTAACCATTGCCAGGGAAACCTGCGCTGGTCGCTCCCTTCATTACCAGTATTTTTTATTAATCTGATTAATAATTATTTTCCCCCTGTTTAATTTTTTTCCTTCCAGGTGGAGTTGCCGGAAGCTGGGGGTACCTGGGGAGGGCGGGGAGGGGAGGGGAGAGGCTGGAGTTGAGGGCATTTCCCTCTCTCCCCCCGGCCCTCTGGCCCCCAAGGGGCAGGAGGAATGCGGGAGCAGTTGAGATAAGGGAGCTGCAGACGCCTCCACCCCTCCCCTCAATCCCGCTCTCTCCCTCCGGTCCCCTTCCCGCAACTTTCCTTAATTTTATTTGGCTTTTTGAGGCTCAGAACTATTCTTTTTTTATTTTTACCTTTATATAAAGTATATGTGTGTGTGTGGAGCTGAGACAGGCTCGGCAGCGGCACAGAATGAGGGAAGACGAGAAAGACAGAGAGTGGGAAAGAGAGGCAGAGAGAGAGGGAGACAGGGAGAGTGACAGCAGCGCCCGGTAAGTGTTTCCTTATTGGTTCAAATATGTAACTAATGGTCCGTAGCTGGGTGGCGGTTTCAAGATAAGGACAGCAGCGGCTTGTCTTGGTTAGAGAGGAGAGGGGGCTGGCGAGAGGGTGGGCGCGTGAGTAATTATGGGGAAGGAAAGTGGGGGGGGGAGGTGGAATATTGGCACCTGGTAGGGGGCGAATGTGTTGTCCTGATGTCACTGCGCGCCGAAGTTCGGGATCGGGAGACTAGAGGACTTCGCCTGTGGGGCGGAAGTCCGGGGTCTGCCTGATGCCCACCGTGTCTGTACCTGTTTATTCTAGACCTGCCTACTTACTCTTGGTTAATGGGACTGAGACGGAGGTGCCTGGAAGCTGAAACTCCAGGGCAGGAGAGAGAACCTGTAGGCTTTGCCCATTGCCCCTTGAGCGACGTCAGCCCCTCGACCCCCAAACAAACTTTCCAGCGCCCCCTCCCTGTCGGGCAGCCCCCTCCCTCCTAGAGAGCGCGACCGCCAGAGCTCACACATGCGCAGTGTGGGCCCAGGGCCGCGCCGTGGAGCAGGAAGCGAGTATAGCTTGGCGGGCGACGGGCGGCGGGCGGCGGGGCCTGTTAATTGGCAATTAGGGGGGAGGCTGGTGGCTGGTGCGCGTCGGCCGAGGGGAAAGCGTCTGCTCACCCCCTGCTCCCGCCGCCCCCCCCCCGGTGGAGGGAAGGGTGGGAGGTGCCCTGCACTGCGGGTGGAGGGTGGGGGTGGGGGATGCAGTACTCAAAAGCCATCTTGTGCTCGGAGAAAAGAGGCCTATCCGCTCTCCTTTCCTAAGGCTGGCGCCCTCCACCCGCAACCGCAGCCACTCCACCAGGGATGCCCAGTGAACTGTTTCACCCGCTTCGCTTGGCTGCTCTGAGCTAGGATCTGCCCTGTCCGGGGCAGAAGTGGGAATGGAGAAGGTCCCAGACTGGGTGGAGACAGGCCAGGCCTCCTGGGTGCTGCGGCGGCAGCTAGGACTCACAGGGCGACTGGCTTGTGCAAGAGCAGCGTCTGAATAGGGTGGCCCGGGAGAGTCCTGGGTGCTCAGGATCGTCCTAATAATTGGTGCTAATGGAGTGTTGTATAGTCTTAACCTGACACATCTGGTTTCATAACACAGTGGCTTAATTTCTTCCAAATGTACGTGGCCCTGAATATGTTGCAGTTTGATATATGACCCCGCCCTGCTCCCACCAGCCTGAGTCGGATGCAGCCCTATAAGTGTGAGTTTCCGTTTATAAAGAGCGACGCACACACGAAAATGCTTACACATCCAAGCAGACACACCCCAGAACTGGGGCGGGGGCAGAATCCTGGCAAGATTCGAGAGTCTGAGGGCCAGACTCACCTTCAATCCGAGCCAACAGCACTCCCATCCTCTCCCAGGGCGCGCGATTGAGATTCTGAGCGAAGCCCGCGTGGGGGAGGGGAACACTCCTCGATTTCCTGTTTAAACCCTGACTCGTCGTCTGGGGAGGGGTTGGGGAGGAGAAGAAACCCGTTTTTATCAAATTGTTAAAACTATAGTTCGACTGCATTCAAATCAAACCCCTTGGGCCCGAGCTGACAGTGAATCTTCTCTCCCCTCCCCCTACAATCCCCTTCCCTTCCTCTTCTGCCCCCCCAAAAGTCCCCTTTCGCAGCCGACATAAAGGCCTCTGAGGTATTCTCCCGAGGGAAGAAATGGCATTTTCTCTCCCCCTTCCTACCCGCCCCCCCCCAATAGCACTGGTGTATCGGCAGAGGCGTCTGCCAAGGGGCTAATTTCGCGTTCCTTGTTTACGATCGAGAAAAACGCTTGGCTGTCCCCAAATGGGCCCAGCCCGCCGACTGCTCTGCTGCCGCGCGCTCTCCGGCCGCTTTGGCGCGGCCCGAGGTCTGACGCCTCGGGGAACCAGGCTGTGGCAGGCCGGGACCCGAGGCTGTGGGACCTGAAAAGGGCAAGGGGAGTACGGTGGGACGGTGGAGGGGCCCGGGAGGCCCGAAAATGGGAGCCTATCTTCCGGAGTATTGTGGGAACCGCTGACCGGTGAGGCCTCTATTTCTCTTTCGCCTGTATTTTGTCCGCCCACGCCCCTGTGGATCGCCGCACTGGCGAGGGGACTGGCGGGGGGGGGGGGCACGAGTCTCCTTTGTTTGTCCCCTAAAGAAAATCGTTTCCAGAAAAGGCTATTCGGGCCAGTAAGATTCACCTGGGATATTGGAGGGCCCCCTCCCATCAGAGAGGCGGGCCTGGGCGAGGCTGGGGTATTTCTCTAGGCCTGCAGGGATCTAGTTTAATCTGCTAACAGGGAGAGATATCTGGGTGCTAGGGTGCGAGGTTGACCGGCTAACAGCACCATCCTGAGGTGTCTTTATATTTCTATAGATTCTTGTGCCCTTCTGAGGCCCCCACCTTACTTTGTGTCCTTCACCCCTAGATGTCTCTTCATGAGACAGAGGGATGAAGAGAAAGCATAGTAGCCGTGATTGGCCCTGGTTTTCCTCTTCTCTTCTCACGGTCTTCCCAGGGGATAAACCAGACCCCGACACCAGTCCTCTGCTTCCCAGTTAGTTACTTTCACTTTTCCCCCTTTTGCGTCTCCTCTGACACTCAAATAGAAGCACAAGAGGGGTCACCAGTGGCAACCCTCAACCTCCTTGCAGGCCAAATTCTCTGTTGATGTGGTCCTCACTGCAGGAGAGCTCTTCTGTGATTATCTAATAATAACCAGGGTGGCTGAGAATAGAATCTGGCTCAAGGACTCTGCACACTCAGGGCTGAGTCTGGGCAGAGACACTGATCTGGGATCACGGCCTGGCAACTTTTCCCAGAGCCCAGGGCCCCAGCGTTCCCCCAGCCCACTCTTTGGGCACCCCCAGACATGCCCTTTATAGGGCTTTGTCAGCCCTGCTATCCACTCTATTTCATGCACCAGTTCCTAGCTAAAGAGAAATGGGCAGAGCAAATCCTTTTGCTCCTTGGTCTGAGAGTTGTGATCCCCATGGAGAATTCGACCTTGTTTGGAGAAGGCAACCTTGTTGGGTTGGCTGTTGTGTTCTGAAACCAGGCTCTAGTTTTCTACATGTGTCATATACAGGCTCAAGTGTACAGACTTAGAGACTCATGCATGAATATATAGAGACTCATGTTTCTTCAGTGGCTAATTGTGTATTACCATGCCTATATTCATTCAAACACCATTTTATGTGCATGCAAAATTTTGTTAGCCCTTACTAGTTGAGAGTGAGCTCCTGGGAGCACTGGGTACACCAAAGACACTCTCTGTGCTTTTCTGCTGGAAATATGTGTGCACTGGAATCGGAGTATGCGGGTTATACTAACCAACGGATGCTACAAGAACTTTCTCAGACATTACTGCTTTTGCTGGTCAAGCACCAGGGCTGAGGGAATACTAAACCCTTTCTGCTTTCCCGCCTCATCTTCGTATATACGCCCCAAATTTCAGACTATCTTAGAATGGGAACTCAGACATCTTAAAAATGAGGTTTATGGGCTCTTTCGTGGGTGTGATGAGCCTGTAAGCAGTTCTGAAGAGCCAGAGATGGACTCTGGATGTGAAAATCTCCCTGGAGCTGTGCAGGGATTAGAGTGGTTTAGTAAAGTGGCCCCCAGGTAGTGGTCTGGGATGGCTTTGGTCAGGGTGCTTGGAGAAGCTGGTGAATGGTATATGTGCTGCCGAAGTGAGCACAGAAGCTGGTGAATGGATAAAGCAAGCCAGAACTGATTCGGTGAATGAACATTTCTTCCTCTTCCTGCATGCCCTGCCCACTCAACCCCACTTCAGACTTGCCTGTGTGTTTAGGGGACTGATTAGAAATTCTCTAAATCCCCCAAATATCCAAATCTTGTTACTGGTGGGGCTGCATTTTAATTCTGTCTGCTACCTGAGCTAGGACAAGGCCAGACTAGCAGAGAAAGCTGGTGGAAGCTATTTAGGAGCCTTCAAACTGGGCCCTGCTGGCTGGGGCCTGGAGTACTGAGTATGCACTGCTGCTGGGAATTAATCGGGCTCCTTTCCCAGCCTTTCTTGTTTCCAGGGCCGGGAAGACAGGACAGAAGGAAAATATAAATGTTAGTGGAAAGCTCTATAAAAGAAAGTGAGGACAGGAAGGGAACTGGAGGGGTTTTCTCCGCTGCTTCCGATGTACTAAGGTTCCTCCCAAGAATCTCACGAGCAGACAAGCTGTGACCAGAGGCTGTAGTTTTCTTCCACCTTCCTTCTACCACCTCTGAGGGCTTTCGGGCCTTGGCCACTCTGGGCGCTGGGGTAACATTACCCCCAGAATGGTGCCCCTTACCCAGCCCAGGGCCTCTGCCACGGTGCTGCAGCCATCCCTGTTTATTGTGTCTGTGAGTTGTTTACTTGTTTTGTCTGCTGCCACCCTGTGTCTGAAACCCGCCAAACCAGCAAATTTGCCTAGGAGAACAAAGTGCAGTGCGACCCCAAATTCCCTCCCCCCCCAGCACCCTCCTCCTGCCCATTCCAGCTCCCTAATTCTCACTTTCTGAGGGAGGAAGCAGAAATTGTCATAAAATAAGGCCGCTGATTATAGGGTCAGGGGAATTATGGGGACACCATAAAGCTCCGGGTGTCCGGGTGTCCTAGTGGCGGAGAGACTTATAAGCAGTCCTCCTCTTGCCTCCAGCTTTTCTTCCTTTCCCCTGGTAACTGCTTGGTTAAGGGGGCCACAGTCATTGAGGAAGTTGAGCCTCTGTCATCACACTTCTCCATTTCTTTCTGCAGGAGATTCTCTGAGGCAGAGGTTGTTGGTTTTAAATCAGGGCAATGTTGGAGGATTCATAAAGCTGGATAAAGCCTGTGGTTCTCCCTTCACTCTCCACCCCTCAAAATAGCAGCGAATTTTTAAAAATCCTAGAAAATTAAGTTGCCCCTTCCCCAAAGATCCTATAAATCTCCAATCATGCCAGGTGTAGTCAGAGAGGCTGCTGTTTGCCTTTAATTTTTCTCCTGGCTCTCAAATCTAAGAGTATCATCAAAGTAAGTAATATTCTTGTGTCTGAAATTAACTCCCCCTCCCCATCTCCTGCCCTCTTTTCACCAGCACAGAACAAATGGGTCTTTCAGATTGCAAACAGTAAAGGATAAAATTATTTATAGGGAAATGAGGGTGATGTTTTATTGTTGGTTTATTGTTCCAGAACATAATAACATTTTATTTTCAAGTGGGAGAAGTTAGACCAGGAAGAAGAGAAGGAAAGGGGAAAAAAAAGTGAGAGAAGGCTACGTGTGTGCCCACACACAAAGCTTCTGCAGCTGTACATAACATTTATGACATTTACAATTTCCACATGACAACTCACTGTGACGTCATAAATGCCAAGTTCTTGATTTTTACAATTCTCATAAACCTCCAGAATGGGTCCAAGCAATGTTCCATGTTGAGGGGAAGAAGAGAAACCAGGAAGTTGGGGATCCTTTGCTCTAATGCATAGCAGCACACCCTTACTGTCCCTCCTTCATCCTCTGATAACCTCCTGAGGTCCTAAGATATTCTGAATATTCTGGATTTTAACTTTTCCTCCTGGGCCAAGCGGGGCCACTTGCTTTGCCTTCCTGAAGTGTCCCAAGGTGTCTGAGCTCCTTCCCAGTCCCCAGCGGGGATGAGGTGCTGAGTCCCCTCCTCAACTGATATTCAGCTGCTTGGGATAAAGGTGGAAGACTTGAGGGATAGGCCTCAAAAAGCCAGAATTTTTTTTCCCAAATGGAGACAGAAGAGGGCTCAGAGCTAAGTGTGGTGGAGCAGGGATACTTGGGGCTTATTTTATTTTTTAATCTTCATCTGGAGAAGTGACTTGAAAAGCCAGATAGAACACCAATGCAAGGGTTTGTGTCTGTTGATAGTAGCAGCAGTTAAATGGGGTTCCAGTAAGGAAGAGCCAGGTGAAAATACAGAAAGAGACAGGAGAGGAAATATGACATGAGTTAGCAGAGTCCCTCCATATACCTTTTTTCTCTGTTGAATTGCAATAAAGCAAAATCAGCTCCAGCAGTCTTTCAACCTCTTCTTAGCTCGAAAAACAGAGTCACCAGTGCAGGCCTCCGAGGTGTTTGGGGCAGTTCTCAGCAGTTTGACATGCCCCATCTGGCCCCTTTCTCCTACCCCCCTCCCAGATGACCCCCAATTCCCTTCAGCTGGCCAGCCTGAACCCTGTCCCCAGAATATCAGCACCCACAAATGGCATCTATTTCCGGGTTGGGTGTGTCAAATTTCACTTTTTCCTCAAGTGTTTTCAAGCCTGAACTTTGAAAGGAGGAGTGTTCCTGTATGGAATGCAGTCTGTATGTGGAGGGAGTACTTGCCCAGAAAACTTCCCCTACCGTATCTATGAGAAACTGGGAGCCCTTTGGGTTAGCCATGCTTTGGAGTCCCTCAGCAGACCAGTCCCATGTGTTCACATTCTCTGGCGGTCGGTGAAGCTCTCTGCAATCCTTTTACTCCATTCCAAGGAGATCAAAGGAGCTCGTACACAAAACACCGGCCATTTAGGGTAGGTTTATTTTTAATTTTTAAGTAAAAAATGTAATTGTAAGCCAGTGGGGCCCGCTGAGCATTCACTCTAGAACAGCAAAGCCTTAACCAAATAGAGCTCTTGTGAGGTGAGCTGAGCAATTATTGAAACTCGGCTTTCTCTGAAAGAGGGATTTCGGCCTTTGCCCAGTGGCACAAAAGAAGACGGCAGGGCAACTGCTCTTCTCTGGCTCTGGAAAATTGGGGATGGTGTGAGACGGGTCTGGCAGATGCAGTAGCTTCCAAGCAGCCAACTGCCTTGCCCATGGAGCATTGCGTCTTGCAACTCCAGTATTGGGGTCCCTAAGCAGCCTCCGGAGGCGCCAAGCTGTAGTTGCCGGCGCCTCCGGCAGCCAGGAATGGAGTATGTATAGCAGCGAAAGGGTGAGTCACAAACATCCTCACAGAGCTAGGGATCTGGAGAGAGGAGAGTGGCAGAACCCAAACTAAGGAGTACCTTTAGAAAAGATTGTCCCCCAAATAAAAATTGCATATCTCATCCTGTTCACCTCAAGTTTCCCTCCCCACGAAATTAAATTGATATATTTCCGCACAGCAGAGTGAAAAGCAAAGGCAGACAAGGTGAGGCCTGCCCAAGAACTCTTCAGGGAGGGGGCCCAGTCCCAACCACCGGCTCCCCAGTTTAGAGCCTGAGACCTCCTAGCCTTTCTGTGGTCTGGAGCCAGGTAAGGCTGGCTGAAGTAAGAGCGCTTTCCCTAGGAAACCCCCAAGTGCCCAGTTCCAGTGCTACCCTTAGCCTTGGGGACTCTTGGCCAGTGACTGCACCCTACTCAGGCCCAAGGCACAGGCAGTAAATTCCCCTCCTATAATTAGTGCTCATGAAAAGCATGTGTTTTGGATTGGTGATGGGGGGGGACTAGGGCAATGAGCGGCAAACTTTCCCCCTTTATTCCTTTTCTGCATTTTCAAATTCAGTTTTTTAATCCACTAATTACAGTTCCAAAAGGGAAAATCTACTCTTGACACCAAGCTCCCTCGGTATGCCTAATGTGGATTGCTGAGGGACCAGAGCAGCACAGAGACCTGCTGGCCGGATGGGGGTGTTCTCTCATTTCTCTCGGCTTGTTTTATAGAAACAAAGAAAGAGTTAGCTCCCTCCTTCCCAAGACTTGTGCATATTTACAGAGCTCAAATGCAGTTTTAATAAAACATCTGTTCTTGCTTCTGCTGATGAGTTTCCATAATTGTTTTCAGACAAATTTCACAGGAAAATATAAATATCTAGAAAAATCCAAATCCCAGCTGCCCCCCCACAGCCATTCTTTGCCAAAAAATAAAATGAGCATGAAATGAAAAAGGAAAATACAATCCAATGGAGGAAAGATCGGGCTCATCTGACCTGCTCTCCCCCCTTGGAGCGAATCCTCCAGCAAATTTCAGCTGCATAATTAAAGATCTGGCTGAAAGGAGGCTTCTTTCCCCAGGAACAGAAGGTGATGGAGGAGAATGTGTTGGAAATTAATTTTTTCAAAGGTATTTAAACAGTGGGAAATTTATTTGTATTCCTGCTTCCCCTCCTCTCCCCCTTGCAGCATTTCTGCCTTTTTCTCCAAGCAGCTGGTTTCTGTTCATTATAAATTGGTGAGACCTTTCAGTCTCTGCCCTCCGTTTAGGGACAGAATAAAGCACTTAACTTTCTGGGCCTGCAACTTACATTCTGCTCCTCAGGTCGCCCACCCCGAAGCCCACCACCTTTAGGCCCCAAAGGAGAGTGTCCTCCATTTGGGGGGCCCTTTCCTCTCCAGATCTGGCTGAGGAAGGGCTCAAAGAAACTCAGACATCCTTGCTGGGGGCGGTAGCACATGCTTCCCCGAAGCTCCTTCTTTCTTTCAAGGTACCTCCCTCCCACTCATAAAAGAGATTTAAAAATACATAGAAAATCAACACTCATTGAAAGCAAAACCTCATTAAGGCATCCTATCTTCCATCATTCAATTTGTTGTACATTGCAACAATTTAATATCTTGAAAGAAATACCACTGACATGATTTATCCCCCTGGCAATCTTGCTCCAAAAGGAGGGGGGATTTACTATTTCTTCCGGCCTCTTCTACTTGTTACACAGCTACCTTCAGGGCAGAAAGGAGGCTGAGAACTATGAGAGAGGCTACTTTTGTCCAGGGTGCACTGACTTGTTCCTGAGCTCAGCCCCAGGGTACTCCCCCCTTGTTTTTCTCTCCCCCTGCCTCTTGTCCTCCAGGGGGACTGGAGCCCCAGCCAGCTGTTGGAAACCTCTGCCCAGGCATGCTATGAATTTGAGGACAGCTGGATTCAAGAGCAAAAAGTAACTCACATTGGTGTCTATGTTTGTGTACCTGCCATGTCACCCCCAAAAGACATAACTCCTCTTAAAAATTTCTTTTTAATGTAAGTACCCTCCTCTACCCTTTCACCTTTATCTCCTTGTGAAGAAGAAAGTGTAGTCCAAAGGGAGGAACCTTTATAAGGATCTTTCCTTTACCGTTCTAAATCCCCACCGATTTCCTTCCTTTCTGAAGGAGGGAAGGGGGTGTTGGATTTTAAAAAGCAAACACAAATTGGCAGAAAGAGTCTTCAACCCCCTAACGAGGTTCACGTATTAACTGACATGTTGTCTGCACCAGCTCCTGCACACACACTCTGCTTTTGGGTTCGAAACTTTATTTTTCCCCCCTAGCGACACTCCAGGGAAATCTTAACGTTACAGAAGATGAATAAACGAGTTTTTTTTCCCAGCGTAGTCCCGTTTATGGCTTTATTGCTACCCATTGATTACTCCGCTTTGTTACACAGAAGGAAAAGATCATAAAATCCGGGCGACATCCGGGTTCTTGTTATAGTCAGCCCCCTCCCAAAAGTGAGGGGAAAAATATGCGCTTTCGCTGCTGCGTGTGCATGCCCCACTACCCTCTTTGTCAACTCAAAGCATTTTCTGCCTATGTCACGATATCAAATTAAATTTGGATCAGGAGAAAATCTCCATGTGCACATCTTCAGCTGGTTCAATTCGCCCCTTGCAGCACCCTCTGAAGCCACGGACCCAGCTGCTTTTTCCTACCTTTTTTCTCTTTTTTTTAAGCCCCAAGGTGGGGGGAAAAATGGGGTAGAAACTGCTGGGAGTCCAAGGGTGGCTGGCACTTGGACAAGAACTCCCCTGGAGCCCTTTGCCAGAGTCCTCAAGCCCCAGAACTCAGGTCCAGGGGCGCCTCCCCTGGCCGGGCAGTGAATCCAGAGGGGGTAGGGGGCTTTTGACCTCTGCAGGCTCTTGAGCCTAACCGAAGCTCACTGTCCATCAGAGCCTCACCAGTCTTCTCTTTCTGACTGGATCCTGAGTCAATTACCCCACGGGCCATGGCTGGCTCCAAATCATAAATTCTCACCAACATAAACAGGAGTTGATGTCTCTAGAAAGATTTTCAGAGTTTTCTTTCTCTTCCCTTTCTTCTCTCTGCCTCTTTTTCCTGTCTTTCCTAATGTATTTTTATACATTTTCTCCTTTAGACAAAAATGCTGCAAGAGTTTCCCCAAAAAGAGGGTCCTGAGGAGGGGGCAGAAGGGGGCTAGGAGACAGAGGGGAGCAGATGTCGCTCCCTTGGCCCACTTCAGCTTCACCACTGTACACTGTACTGTCCCCCTCACCCCTTCAAACTTCATGATTCCCCCAACCACTCTAAACTCGACTCAGTCACATTCTCCTTCCTCTGGGAGCCGTCCTTTATGAAATTTCCTTCTTCTTTTGAGTTTTTTAATTATTGGAAAAAATACATCAATTGAGTGATGGAGACTCACCCTGTGGAGTGTTAAACCAAATTTGTTGTAGCATTTCTGAGAACCCCCTGAACTGGGAGAGAGGTCTTCCCATGAACAATCAGGTTGCAATTTTAGAAGGGAGCAGATATTAAAGATGAAATTAGAAAATACAGAGATTTCTCCTGCCCAGGGTCTGGCCACAGCCGAGCAAAGTTAGCTGGGGCTGCGAGATTTCCTGGAGTATATCTCTTTCTGAGGGCTCCAAGGCCCTGATCAAGGACGGGTACCCCTCTTTTACCCCCAAACCAGTTCCCTTACACATACATTTTAAAAAGAAACCCAAGTCTTACTTTCAAAGCACACACTTAGTCTCAACTAGGGAATCAACAGAAGCAGAAGCGATTTTTTTCTCCCTTCTTGACATCTGGCTTGTGATTGGCTGGAAGGGGGTCAGCTGACTTTGTCATTTTGTCTGTCCTGGATTGGAGCCGTCCCTATAACCATCTAGTTCCGAGTACAAACTGGAGACAGAAATAAATATTAAAGAAATCATAGCCCGACCAGGTAAAGGCAAAGGGATGAATTCCTACTTCACTAACCCTTCCTTATCCTGCCACCTCGCCGGGGGCCAGGACGTCCTCCCCAACGTCGCCCTCAATTCCACCGCCTATGATCCAGTGAGGCATTTCTCGACCTATGGAGCAGCCGTTGCCCAGAACCGGATCTACTCGACTCCCTTTTATTCGCCACAGGAGAATGTCGTGTTCAGTTCCAGCCGGGGGCCGTATGACTATGGATCTAATTCCTTTTACCAGGAGAAAGACATGCTCTCAAACTGCAGACAAAACACCTTAGGACATAACACACAGACCTCAATCGCTCAGGATTTTAGTTCTGAGCAGGGCAGGACTGCGCCCCAGGACCAGAAAGCCAGTATCCAGATTTACCCCTGGATGCAGCGAATGAATTCGCACAGTGGTGAGTTTTACAGCTCCGAGATATAAATTAAATAAACTGAACTGCCTTTATGACCGGCTTCCCTAGAAGAACGGGCGGAGAGAGTTTTTTATGGCCCCATAAAAACAATCACGCTCGTCTCCTCGCCGACGCCGAGACAGGGCCCCCTCTTCTGCCCCCTCTGCTTGCCTCCCTCGCTGGCTCACAGGGGCCTGGCCTCCTCGGCCCTGACGGACTAGAGGGCTCCAAGGCAAGCTGAGGGGGCAAGAACAGGGCAGGGGGTGAAGGGAGGGGGAAAGGGTGAGGAGTCCCCCAAAGGCGAGTTAGGCTGAGAAGATGGGAGAGGACAGGACAGCAAAGTGGGGAGAAGTTTCCAAAGAGGTGGAGTGCTCAGGGATGTGGGGACCCCAGTCCTCGAGAAAATGGGCCCTTACCCTCAGTATCTGAGATTTTTCAAAATCACCTTTTAGACTGGCAGCTTTTTGCCTGGTTTTTGCCCTGCCCCCCTCCCGACGTTTCTTTGGAACCCATATCTACCTCTTATGGGAGGACTATATAAATTGGGGTCCTAGCTGTAACCCCAGTGGGGGTGGGGCAGAGCGAAGGGGTTTAGAAGGCTAGAGCTTAAGGGGGCTGCGATCTGCTGGGCAAGTTGGGAGGGCCAGGACTTCGCTAGGCGTAATCATCTTGGACAGACGCCTTGCTGATCGTTTTTAGTGTGTTTTGTGCCCGGATCTCTAGGGGTTGGCTACGGAGCGGACCGGAGGCGCGGCCGCCAGATCTACTCTCGGTACCAGACCCTGGAACTGGAGAAGGAATTTCACTTCAATCGCTACCTAACGCGGCGCCGGCGCATCGAGATCGCCAACGCACTCTGCCTGACCGAGCGACAGATCAAAATCTGGTTCCAGAACCGCCGGATGAAGTGGAAAAAAGAATCTAATCTCACCTCCACACTCTCGGGGGGTGGCGGAGGTGCCGCCGCCGACAGCCTTGGCGGAAAAGAGGAAAAGCGGGAAGAGACAGAAGAGGAGAAGCAGAAAGAGTGACCAGGACTGTCCTTGCCACCCCTCTCTCCTCCCTGGCTCATCCCAACTCTCCCCTAATCACACACTCTGTATTTATCACTGGCACAATTGATGTGTTTTGACTGCCTAAAACAAAATAAGGAAGTCAAAAGTGGACCTGAAAGTCAGCTCTGGACCCCCTCCTTCTCCACACAACTCCTCACCACGCGTCTCCTCCTCCTCCTAGCTTGTTCTCAGCGTGTCTGCAGGCCCCTTCCCCCGCCCAGGCCTGGGGGGCACGTTCCCTGAACCTCGCTTCAGGCTCCACAGATTTTCCTCCGATTGAGATCGTGCCCCCCCTTCCTTCGACGCCCCCCCCCCCAGAGAGCCGGCTCCGAGCCTGGGGCCTCCACTCCAGGGCCTCAGGGCCCGGCCTGGCAGCCTGGGAGGGCGGGAGGCCCCAGGA